ATTCCCCCAATGGTTCACCCCTGAACCCTAAACCCTAAATCCCAAACCCTAAACCCTCAAACCTAAACCCACCAGCGGAACCAGGCGCATGATTCCGTAGTCCGCTGCCAGGGACCAAAAGAAACCATGGGGATGCGTGAGGCCGGAGAACCTGGTGTACGGTTGTACCCTTTAATGAGGGGTTTAGGAGTCTAAGATTAGGGGTTTAGGGTTTAGGGGGTTCTAGAGTGATATATCCTTTGAAAAGGGGTTATAGGGGTTCTATAGGGATATATAGGGGTAACTAGGTTTAGGATTTGCGGAGAACCTGGTTTACGGTAATGTAGACCCCCCCGTTTTAATTTAAGGACGTATAGGGGTAATATGAGGGTAAAAAAAATATAGGGGGAATATGTACAGGGGCAATGGAAAAGAAAATGGAAACTACCATTCAGGGTTTAGGGCGTAGGTTTTAAATGTAGACCCCTGATTAATAAACCCCCTCCTTTGCACGGGCCTTAATAGTAGGATCCCTACTATAGTAAGTTATGGTATTTTATAGTATATTACATGATTAATAAAACTCCCCCTTTTAAGGGCCTTAATATTAGGATCCCGATTATATTCCCTATTAAGGGGAGAGGGTTTATTAATCAGGGGGTCTACACTACAGGGTTTCGAGTGTCAGGCTTCAAGTTTGGGGTGGGTTCTTGATTTAGGGTTTAAGGTTTTGGGCTTTTAGGTTTAGCGCTTCATGGTAGGGTTCCTGGAATGGAAGGGTACGTCTTGACCTTGAATCCATACAGCCCAAGAGTCTGGGTTTGAGGTGCATTGAGTAGGGTTGTGGGGGTTGCAGTTCTTATCTCAACCCCTGCTACAATCTTTCCAGGGTGGCGGGCCACATGCGCGCGCCGAAAACCCTAAACCCTAAACCCTACCCCAAACATGTTTGCGACAACTTAGACCCGGACTCTTACGCACCTCAAGGGGGTTTCGAACAGTAGGGGGGCCCAATATAGACCCTCATATACTATGGTCCTCAGTAGCGAGAAGGGGCTCCTAGTTATTGGCACCCCCCCTATAACTGTGACGAAGCCACTAAAACACGGCATTGTCAGCCCGATGCTTGCAGGATCTTACAGGTTGTTTATAGGGAATGGAGAAATGGATCCCTGTTGTAGCCCCCAAAAAATCCCTGACAACAGGCAAGTTTCTGTGGTCTTTTCCAGTCCCTACATCCCAAACCTTAAATATCCCTGTCACTCCTTCACATGGAGCTAGGGGCTAATAGTAATTTCGTTTTTCTTTTCCGTTCCTTTATTCCCTGCTAAACCCTTGACCCTAACCCCCCAAACCCCCTCACCCTAAGTAGTACTTTAGAGGGAGAGTCCAAGGCTTAAGATTGTCAGGTTCTCCAGCAGACAACCTGCAGGTTCTTGCTGGCCAACCCTAAGCCCGAAACCCTAGACCCTACCACTATGGGCTATTAGACCTTAAGGGTACCTTAATCCACCCTTAATACGGTCCTATTTGGGAATTTTAGGATCTAATAGCCCATAGTGGTAGACCCACCCTAAACCCTAAACCCTGGTCGAGGGACACGGCCAGGGTGGCTGAACGAGCGGCGATCTCAAAGGCCCGCATGACCTTGGACTTAAATTTGTGGGGGCTTCCCAAAATTGGAGGGGGTTACTGGCCCTAAACCCTAAACCCTAAACCTTTTAAAGGGGATATCGGGAGAGGTATCTACTAGGGCTCAGGGGTTTCTCAAAAGCAGGAGTACCTTTTTGGGGGCCTCTGCAATAAGGCCTTAACATACATTGGGGTCTGTATTGGGGTCCCCCTATTTCGGTAAGCTACCACATTCAGCAGTTGTCAGGGGGAGAAAAGACATTAGACGTACGCCACGCAACAACAACACAACACTTTCAAAGTGGATACTGTCCTTCTTGCACCAAGTCAGTCAGATGGCAAGCATTTAGCATGCCCGTTTCCAAATGCACAGCTGCATAGTCGCCGCAGCAGGCATATTGCGACTAGATTGAGAATTTAGATATGATTCATGATACTGGCGACCTTTCCGCAGCGCACGTTGCGCTTGCGCGATCTGATCGCAACATCGAATAATTTCGAGTCGCGTTGCTACAAACTCTTGGTTCTTCCTATACCACTATGGGCTATTAGACCTCAAAATTCGCTATTAGCACCCTATTAAGGGTATATTATAAGGTACCCCTAAGGTCTAATAGCCCATAGTAGTACCATGGGTTCCCTAACAAACCACCCTAGGCTCCCCGAACACTGGCCTTCATAACCCCTAAGTAAGCAACTGGGCCTTGTGGGAGTAATGCGGGTTGCTAGACGCGGAACCTACAACATAAGCAAATGGAGCAGCCCAACTGGGTTGGCCCCTAAAACCCTTTAAAAAAATATTTATATATAGGGTCCCCTGTTCAAGACATTAGGGAAAATATTGAATATCCCAGGGGCCTACCCAGCCAAGTTGAAGGACCCGACATCTAGCTGTGTTGACTGGCATGCTGCCCAGGGTCCGCTACTGTGGCAACATATCCGGCCGAAGTGCGGAACTGCACCTAGGGCTTCTGGTTTTGGGATTTAAGGATTTAGGGCTTAGGGATTTAGGGTTTAGGGATTTAGGGATTAGGGCTTCTGGTTTAATGTACACCCCTGATTAATAAACCCCCTCCGTCTAGGGGCCTTAATAGTAGGATGTCTACTATAGTAAATTATGGTATATTATAGTATATTACATGATTAATAAAACCCCTCCTTCGTAAGGGCCTTAACATTAGGATCCATAGTATAATCCCTATTAAGGAGAGGGGGTTAATCAGTCATGGGTCTGGGTTAGGGTTCAGGGGGCCACAGTCTGTGCAGCAGGCCCGTTTAAAAGCAAGTCTGAAAGGGTAGAGTTTGTTGCTTTGAGTTCGCCGCTGATTTGGGAGAGCTGAAGTGTTGCAGTGGTTTGTTGTTTGTCGTTGTTTACAATCAATGCTGCTCGAGAGTGGAGGCTTCCCCTTTGACAAGTAGACCGGATGTCCCAAGTGAGGGGTACCCTGACGCATCCTGATTGATATGAAGTATAGAGGGGTCCCCTTAACCCTGAACCTTAATTTTGTGAAACAAGATATGGGCTCATGAGATGTTTGGCTGTACCTGAGATAAACCCAGACCATTTACTTCCGAAAACTAACGTGGGAAATTGGAAGTAACCTTTAAAGGGTTTGTAGGGGTAAAGGCGGCGAAAGGTACGGATATCTAGGTTCTAGGGCGTTATCCTCCCCAATACGAACATGGAACCATGTAGATCCATACTCGGAGCACTGGAGGCCTTTTGGGATTTCCATGTGGATTTGCAGGAAGGTTGCCGTGAACCCCCTAAACCATGAACCCTGGAAGAAGGAGGCCCAGGCCTGCAACTACCTGGAGCACCTGAGGGCCGCCTGTAAGTCTCCAGTCGCAACATAAGAACAATGAAAGACAACCCTAGGGTCTAGGGTTTAGGGTTTAGGGTTTAGGGAGGTATTCGAACTGGCATCAATAAGAGCCTTAGTATGAGTGGTAATTAGTAATACTAATATTCATGACTATCGTTTGTGAACCTTACTGTTACTAGTATTGACAATAGTACTGGTAAGAGAATGATAGGAATAATGTTAGGATTCTGTAACAATAACATCTAAACACTTATTAGCGTTTAAAGACTTCCCACAGACCTTCCATAAATGCCTAGGTGCTCCTGACAGGTTTCGGTTCGGTGCTTATCCACCACTTTGTTGTTGTTTGTTTTGGGGGGGGGGCATGTGTAATGTCAAGTTCTAAATTAAGAATCTTGGTTTGCTGAGCTTTAACAGCAACTTTGTTTCAACTTGATGACGAATAGTTTCAGGTTTCTGGGGCGCAAGATGTGCTAGTGCTGGTAATACTGGTACAACCAGACAGAGCACCAGCCCAAAACCATATTTTGGGTACCGCGTAAAGGTCAATGCTTTACCAGCCCCAACACACTGGAACAGGTCCCACACTAATACCTGTCCAAGCTGTATGTCATCTCCAAACTCAAGAATCCCATCTTAAGGCGAGGAAGCCTATCGATCCGGCACATCCTGATCCCTGCGTCCTATGCCCAAAGCCCCTAAGCCCTAAACCTTAAACCTTATACCTTAAACCCCAAACCCTAAAACCAAAGCCCCCAAGCCCAAGCAGGGGCCTTCTGCTCCCACATGGCCAGCCCCAGACCCACCGAGACGAAAGAGGAGAAGACGGAAGCCTCCGGCTAGTGGTGCTTATGGGAGAGTGGGAAAGTGGGCCCCTATAATCCCTATATAATCCCCCATTTATTTTTTGGGGGAATATGCACGTCTTGAGCCCTAAACCCTAAATCCTTAAATTATTAAACCCTAAACCTAAAACCCCAAGCCCTTCAACCCTAAACCCTAGTCCTCAAACCCTAAACCCGAGAAAGGAGGGACATGCAGGGACCGGGTTGGCTTTACAGCTCAGGGGTTGAAGGCTGTTCAGGTCTATAGTCGCCCTTCATAGATCGAGTGAAGGGTTTAGGGTAGATCGAATATGGGGTATATGGGGATCGTACTATAATATGCCCAAAGGCATATTCTATCTACGTAAGGGGGACTATAGGATGTAAGGTGTAAAGCTCAGGAATTCAAGCTTAGAGTTCCCTTTCGGGAATGTGCGCATATATTCGTTCCCAAAGCTCTGAGCGTCAGCCCACTCCAGGCTTGACACTTTGGGGAAAGCCCCGGCACACAAGGTGCGGCCATGCCGCCCCCCGGCCTCGTCGGGCGGAAAAAGAAAGAATAGAAGGAAGAAAACCCCGGCGTACAGGGTGCGGTCATGCCGCCCCCTAGCCTAGTCAGGCAAAGGAATGAGAAGAAAGCCCCGGCACACAGGGCGCGGTAGACCGCCCCCCGGCCTCGACAGGCAACTGACCGGAAAGAAACTCTCTTGGAGAATGCGAGATGAGTTGGGCTTATGGCTCAGTGGTCAGCGATTTCATATCGGCGGCGCAAGGCCGCCCGAGCTCGAGATGCACGCACGGAAACGCACAGCTCTTGCATCATGACAGAGTGAATATGTGCAGGCTCCTCGCCAGCACGCGCGGCCACAGCCCGGGCAATGTGTTGCAAAACAATGGCCGCACCCTTATCCCAAGTGCCTGTGGCCTCTACCACCATAGGCACAAACACCACGCCCTGGTTCTCACAGGCTTGGGCCGTGTCCAGGCGCCTCCTTGTGGCGAGCGTAGGCTGCAGCTGCTGCGCCTGTTTCTCTGGCCGCCAATGCCAAGGTCTCCTGCCGCTGTGGTGCTGTAACAGCAAAATCAAGTCCAGCGGGAGACCCGGCAAGGGCGGG